GGCAGCGGCAGCGGCAGGGGGATGCCCGGCCGAGGGAGGGAGCTAGCCGGCCGGCGGGATGGCGTCGGCGGGAGGCAGCCGGAGCAGCAGGGAGCCCCGAGCGCCCCCTCCGCAGCAGCAGCAAGAGCAGCAGCGGCCGCCTTTCCCTGCCCGGGCCGGGCGCTGGGGGGCCGGGGCTTGCGCCGCGCTGCTGGCCGCGCTCTGCTACTGGAACTCACTGCGCGGCGAGTTCGTGCACGACGACGTGTGGGCGATCGTCAACAACCCCGACGTGCGGCCGGGAGCCCCCCTGGCGGCCGCCTTCGCCAACGACTTCTGGGGCAAGGGCATGGCCGAGAACACCAGCCACAAGTCCTACCGCCCGCTCTGCATCCTCACCTTCAAGTGAGTCCGCGCCGCGGCCAAGCCGCGCTCGCCCCCCTCCCCCGACGCACTGGGGTAGGACCCGGAGGGCGGCCGGGAGGGGGAACGCACTCTGCACATGCCTCGGGGCGCGCCGAGCCGGCGCGGCAAGTACATAAGATGGCCAACGCGTGTGCCTCGCTGCTGGCCCGGCGGCGTTTCTGCAGCGGCTCTGGATGCGCAGACGTTGAGAATGCTGAACTCCAAGCCAGGGGGAAACTTGACTTGCGGCTGTTGTTAAAAAAAAAAAGGCGGGCGGGGGCAGATCAGGGCGATTCGTTTCTGGCTTGGTGCGGCGGGGGGGGGGGGGGGACCCTGGTGCTGCAGAGGGACTTGTTGGGGTTATTCGGTAGCGTGGGAACGGTTGCGACACTTATCATGATCAGGGCTATTCGCGTCTATTGGCATTTAACGGAGAACATTTGCGCGCGGGGGGGGGGGGGGAATAGGAAGAGCTCCCTCCTTCCTTCCTGGAGGACCTTCCAGTGGCAAACGCTAACCCGGGGGTGAAACCGTCACCGAAAGGGAAAGACTCTGTGCGTGTTTGGAGGACTTTCCCTTGTCCTTCGGCAGCGGGGGATAGCATAGAAGGTGACGCTTGAGTAGTGGATCTTGCTGAGACCCGCTGCCCTCGTCTTCCAAGCCCGGCCCCGATTCCCCTCTCTGCTCATCTTTCCATCAGCTCCATCTTGCCTCTTTGCCCCCCCCCCCCCCCCCAACCCCCCCCCGCAGCCTCAGCAGAAATTGCTGATACATTTCCAATGCAAGTCCTCTCAAGATGAAGACATATAGGCTCAGTGCCTGTATTTTGTTCCCCAGAAGATGAATCCTACTAAGTAGGGATGTCCAAGGGGGGGGGGGGGGCGGGGGGAAGAGAGCTGGTAGTTTTCCTGCGCCCACTCACTACCCCAGGCTTGCCAGAATAATAATCCCTGCCAGGCGTTGGTGTGGCCCTCCCTTGTGGAGGCGGGGAGGATAAGCCATAAAAAAAATCCCCAGCCCCACCTTCGCCTGCGATTGAGCCAAGAAGTGCACATCCCAATTGGTGCTGATCACAGAGGGATTTGTGGTGCCGATTGCCAGTCATGGACCTGTTCCCTGCCAGTGTCCGGGAGAAATTCAGAAGGGCAGATTGGCTTTCCTAGGGACTTCTACACCAAAGGCTTATAAAGTTTGGTCCCCCGACTGTTTTCCATTGATTCTCGTGGCCACTTGCCTGGGATAGAAACTGTTTCGAGCCCTCTGATTTGTCTTCGATGTGTCTGGTGGAATCTCAGCCACCTGGTACAAAATAATATTTCCCTGTCCTTTTTTGAGCATGCCAGCTATTTCTTCTTCTTCTGGTACTGCATCCATACGAACGGCATTTGCAAATTGAGTAGGCTCTGAATTCAGAACCGGTTCTCCCACTCCTGTCTGTTGAATATGGCTGTTGGCAGCTACTATCCAGTTACGGCGATATGGCAATAGATTTGAGCAGTGTCATCATGCCGCCCTCCCTGGTGTAAACCTCTGTGGCTCTGTGCTTTGGGGTCGACATCTGGCTGTATCGCATAGCGTGGGAACTCTTCCCCCGCCCTCATGAATAATGGCCTCCGGTGTCTCATAGCAATTCTGTGCTCAGTCCTCCTAAATTAGAAGCAGTACAAATGCTGGAGGGGAGAGCAGTGTTGTAAGCTGCTTTGGGTTCCCACTGGAAAGAAAAGTAGGGTATAAGTAAATTGTTGGGTGATAGTGAGAGAGAGGCCTGGCGCGATCTGGTCCATGGGGTCACGAAGAGTCGGACTCGACTGTGCGACTGAACAACAAAAAGTGAGATATTGAAAAAATTGTATTTAGCCGAGATAAGATAGTCTAGCAGTGCCTGAGTAAAATAATTCAGACTCAGAGTCCATGTGTGATTAAAATATAAAGTTTTTACTAAATTCTAGCATGGGAAGGGTAACTGGGATGAAAATAATAACAGAGCAAAATCTGCTACATCCTTACTCTACAAAGACAAAACTAGAAGAGAGAGATTATGTCTACTCTTCTTCTTCAGAACACCAAACAAAGACGGGAAGAGAGCCATAAAATGCTAATACACCTTGACACTTTAGTCCCAATCAAATTCCTAGATCAGGGAGAAAATTCCGGGGTATTCTACAGCTAAAGAACATTGGTTACATGAAAAACATGCGACTTCCTGTGAGTAACATAAACAAACATTTAACCCCAGTTATACTGAGTGTTTTCAACTTGTAATACCCAACATAAATACATACGAGGCAGCCTGCTCCTTGAGTTTGCACCCTCCAGACTATTAAGCTGTGGCTCTGTGGGTTTGTGCTTTGTGGTTAATTCATAATACAGAATGGGTGTCTTGCATTCCAGGCTGCAGTGGGAAGTATAGCTCATCCCCATCACTTCAGGTTCTTGTTGGACACTGGGCAACAGTGTTGCTTGGGGGTATTCAGCTGCTCTGAGATTCAGGGCTGCAGCAGACGTATAGCTTTGCTGTTTGCTTGGGACTGGACCGAAGGCCTTCTTCAGAAGAAGAGCCTTGCTGGACCAGACCAGTGGTCCATCTAGTTCAGCATCCTGTTTCACACAGTGGCCAACCAGTTGCCCTGGAGGGCCATCAAACAGGGCATGGAGGCCAAGGCCTCCTAGCAGTGGGTTTCAGAGGCTGAATATGGAGGTTCCCTCTGCCGTAGTTGGACCACTCGTCCATGAGAGGATACCTTCTGGGAGCATTGTTTGGGGGCATGTGTGCTAGCAGAAAGAATGGAAAGGGTGTGTTGGTAGTGGTATCCTCTGGATTGCTGCTGAATGCTGGCTTAAGGACATGGGAGGGTCTGCACTAGTGTTACCTCTCTTCCACCCCCTGCCTGTTGTCTCTTTTGGGGTAGTGGTTTGGTGTAGTGGTTAAGTGCGCGGACTCTAATCTGGGAGAACTGGGTTTGATTTCCCACTCCTCCACTTGCAGCTGCTGGATGACCTTGGGCAAGCCATAGTTCTGTCAGAGTTGTCCTTGAAAGGGCAGTTCTTGAAAGAGCTCTCTCAGCCTCACCTACCTCACAGGTTATGGGGAGGGGAAGGGAAAGGAGTTTGTAAGCCTCTCTGAGACTCTGAGTGAAGGGCAGGGTATAAATCCAATCTCCTCCTCCTCTTCTTCTTCTTCCTTCGCTCTGTGGACATACTTAGTCTGTTCCTTAGGTATGTAACTTCCCAGATACCTTTTCTTGGGTGTTTTGTGTGTGTCTGTGCCTGGAAGCCCTGGCAACCCCTGGTGAGTCCTACTGGGGCATGGATAGCCTGTCTTGGTAGCCTGCCTCTGCCTCCTGGCCCTGGTATTCCAAGGAGGTCTCCCATCCAAGTACTTTCCAGGGTCAGCCCTGCTTAGCTTCCGAGATCTGACAAGATCGAGCTTTCCTGGGCTATGCAGGTCAGGGCTTCCCAGATACCTTTTAAGAGGAAGGTAGTCCTTGGGCCTTTGCCCACTTTGCAGTGTTGGAGTATGTTTCTTTGGAACATGCATTTGTTCCCTGGTTTCTCCACTGCTCATTTTGAGGCTGTGCTCCTGCAAGGAATAAGGATTCACCGCTTATTTATTTGTTTTACTCTGTTTGTAGTTCGCTTTTCTCAGTTTGACTCCAGGAGGATTCCGTGCTGTAAAGCAATGTAACCAAGCATCACGACAACTCTGATAAGCAATGCAATAAGACTAGGATTGCAAAAATGAGGAACAGTGCAAAAAAAAGGTATCAGACAGAACATGTCAAGCGATGCAGAAAATGGAATTACAGAAGTAGAAAACACCGTGGTAAGAGCAGGATAATACACAGATAATACAGTGTACACTATATATAGCATAGAGTTAGACCCCACAGTTCTATTCTTGTTATAAACATGCTTTCCTTAACCCTTCTGGTACACTCCAGCCCTAATGTCTTTATAAAAATGCTTTCCTGAACAATTCTGTTTTTCATAGTTTGTGAAATAACTGTGAGCGGAGTGCTTAAGATAACTAGAAGGATTTTATCTGGTGTTGCTCGGGCACCCTGCAACACTCTGTGGCTATCATTGTTTTGTACTAGTGATATGCATGAAGCAGTCTTATACTGAATCAGGTCATGGATTCATTGGAGTCAGTATTGTCTGCTCAGACTGAAAGTGGCTCTCCAGGTTCTCAAACAGATGTCTTTCACATCACCCACTACCTTTTGCTTTTTGCTGGAGATGCCAGGGATTGAACCTGGGAGCTTCTTCATGCCAAGCAGGTGCTCTGCCACCGACCCATGGCCCTTCCCCTTGCCCCCATGCCTACCTTTGCAACTACACTAGGTCTTCTGCGGTGTGCCTATGCCATTACTTCGTTGAGACACGGCCACTTTGGCTCTGATGGTTCGCCCCTTACAGCCTGTTGAGTGGGGGGAAAGCTATTACAACAGAGGCGTTTGAGGCTATACTTCACTTGCTGTTCTTGCGTCCTTTCCTGGGTTTAAAGATCTCTGCTTGATTTTTGCCAGCACATCCAGCTGCAAGCCTATCATTCACTTCATGGATGGAGTCCGTATACCACAGTGTGATCCATGGCCTTGGGTTCCTCACTGTTGCCTGTGTTCTGGCCCTGTCCTTGGTGCTTGCACATCCAGCTCGCTTGATGACACCATACTGCAGGGCGCATGCACCTCTAGACTGTGCAGAGACCTTTTGTGTTAGGTGGCTGCTGTGTGCTGGAATGTGTGTAGCTGTGAAGTGTGCACGTTGTTGGTCCTGTGGCGTTGTGTACTGATTGGACTGTGGTGTCTTCATGTATTCTGGATATTGATCAAAACTAGGGGTGCGTCTTAATAACTGATGGGGAGCCACCACTGCCATTCATGCCTCCTTCCCCTTGCCCTGTGCCTGCCTTTGCAATTGCGCTAGGTTTTGTGCTAGCAGTTCGAAAGCAAGAACTTGCAAGTAGATAAATAGGTACCACTTCGGTGGGAAGGTAA